GACTTAAATATGGATTTGATGCACGAGAAAATAGTGCATATTGCATCATGGACATTCAAAACCTAAAGATTTGATTACTGACAGAGTGAGAAAAGGTTTACAGTATATCAGTGTCTGTTTTGAAGTTCATTTTATCAAAAAATATAAAGTTTTTGCTTTTATGAAACTTCAAAGAATTATAATGTAATACCTTTTAAAGCTTACAAGATCATGATGCCATTAAGAAAGCTAATTAACATACTTGGAGTGTTTTTATTGACCTTGTGTAATGTAATGTTTGTTTTTACTTTCTGTAGGCTAATTTGCTCTGTAAACTATAGCAAAATCAACATGGAGGAATTTAAAGTAAAACTGGAATTTCAGAATGTGACCACACAAAAACAGGTGTGTATTTTAATGAATTAAATATATTTAATATCTTTATGAATCAACTTTAAAAGTTCTTGTTGTATATCTCATGTTTGAAAAAAAATTTGGTAATGCATATTTCATAAGTCTGACAACAAAAAATAAAACTTGGTAATTTTTAGGTATAAAATAACCAGTTTCTTACATTGTCCATTCAGTCTTAGGATCAGTAAATAAATCAGTAAATCACTCTTAAATAATGACATTTTGAGCAAGTTTATACATTTGGAACCCTTATCTTAGCATCACCTATTTTTTTTAATATTAAATGAGTATTTTTTTAATTAGCTATTTATAAAAATTAATGCAATTAAAAGCTAAACCATAAATGTTTTTAATATAATGATTAAAAGAAACAGTAAAGCTGTATTTCTTGTATACCTGTAAACTTAAACTATTTTAATACAAATATTTAATAATTTTCAAGTGAACTAAGTGAAACTGCTAAGCATACATTATTCAGCCTAAAACACTGAAGTGAAAGAATGCAACTTGGGGTATTTCTCAACCTAGCTTTGGCACTAGATGTGAATTTCTTGTGCATTTTTACATTGACTTTTAATGAAGGGAGACAACATTTCAATTTGTATGTTGAGGCCTATATCAAATGTTACTGAGCGATGGTCATTATGAACATCAAAAATCAAAGTATAAATATTTTGGTTCATAAAGTACTCAACAAAATATATCAAAGTAATTTTAAGAATACTGGTACAATGATAGTTTTGTGTTTGTTTCACTTTTACGTGTACTAGTAGTAATGAAAGAATTTTGTTTATTTATTCTATCACAGGCAGTAACAAAACTGTTGTCACAGCTGATGGCAAAAGTACCACAAAATAAGGTTCTAGGTACATCCACTAGTCAGGTAAGTTTTTATTGCCTTAATATGTGCATAAAATTCACTACCAGCAAGATCGATAAATTACACATATGTGGGTAAATAGTCTTATAACAAGTTTATCATGCTGGGCACAAAAAGGAAGATGGTGACCACTTGAAGAAGTAAATTCTAATATTATTTTCAAAACATCAGTGAGTGAGTTTATTTTTGTGCTGCTAGGTGGTTAAGATGGTTTAAATATTTTTCGCATCAGTGAACTAATTAAATTTCTGATACGGCACATTACCTACTCTCACATAAATAGCTATTCTTGCTCAGCGATGCCCTTTATATGCAAAAAAAATCATTTATGTATGCCACAAGACTTCCATCTTTCCTCCATTGGAATTTACTGATTCCAACTTATCTCTTATGAAAATAATCATGTGTCAACCCTCCATCGATAAAAATGCGACATACTCTCATGATGCATGTGGATGCTTCTATTCAATTCTACCAAACTGTCACTTCGTTTGACAGTATTTGTGTTCAGACGTTTTTCTTTTGGCGCTTTTCATGTGAATCGTGATTTTAATAGTTTAATTGTCAAAGTAGGAATTTATCATTATTATTTTTTCTTTACATTGAAGAAATCTTTTTATTTAACTTAATTTCCTAGTCTTTATTTTTTTTTCTTCTCACACTCTCATATTTTACATCAAACACTTTTCTTTGACTTACATATTTCTGCAATGAATTTTGAGGTTCATGTTCCCACTTCGGGTTTTATACCTCCAGTACTATTTTCACAGACTGCAGGTACGGGAGACCCATCATTGGATTTCTCTGCTATTATCCATTATGAGATTGATGATCATATGGGTAAACCACTAATCCTCCTGCACAAGACGAATCTGTTTGGGCTGTTGAAGATTTGATAGCCCTTTTACACCACTGGTTTTTGTCATGTTTTTCTCTACCCCTCCTGCAGAATCATCTAGGTCTAATGGGGCATTTTTATATATGATTTCTCAGGTATGTTTCATCCAATTCCCCATTTTTCTGTGATTCCTTATTACCTCAATGTTGGCTCGTTTGTCTTTTTTTGGCTGTAGCTTTACACTCGTGGTTTCACTGTAGTTGATTTTTTCTGGGGCACGATCTTGTCCTTGGTACTTTTGCCATCTCTTACTTTTTGGAATTTCTGTATTTTATTTAGTGATATGTTTTCAATCATGTATCTGTGACTTTGGAATCTTGTGTAATCTGTGCATCAATGCTTGACCCTATCTTCTTTCGTTGCACATTAGTTGCAGTTGGAGTTATGACACACCCCTATTCCTTTCCTGTCCCGATCCTTACCTTACTGTCCCTGTCCCCTTTCCAGGAGTTTCTCATCTTGTTGTTTTATTCAACAATGAAGGGCATGTCGCCAACAGTACCGGGAACTAACCAGTGGGTTCAGGTCTAGTGTGAGCTTGATATATGATATTATCCTTTGGCAATCTTTCACTACATTTCCATAGGTTCTTTGGGTTTTTCCGGAGGGACTTGTCATCCAATTCCTTTCTCCACATCCTTTGTCCCTGGTACTCTTTTCCTTCCCCATGACTTGGGATCCTGCCATCAGCCTGTGTTTGTCTGAGGCAGCAAAAGATTTTTCTGTCTTTACAGGCCATTGCACCTGTTCATCATCTTTCTCCAGGCTTTTATTCCAGGCAGTTTGTTATCCTTGAATCAAACCAGAGACTGGTGGCCTGAACTAGGTTTGTTCCGCCTCCTTCTAATTTTCAATCTGCCCATTTTACCTTGGATTCGTTTGTAACCCTGTGGTGGGCTTTATCTTCAGGTTTATCAATGAAAAAAGGAATGTCGTGGATGCTTATTTGCATATCCCAGTATTTCATCACTCACGACCATCTATTAGGTTTATTCTTCACAGGTTGGTTTCTCTGTCTTGTGCACTGCCCTTTGGACTAGCTTTGTATGTTTTGTTGGGCATTCAGAGCAATCGTTAATCACTTACATGCTCTTGGGTTACACTTTCATCTTTCTTTGGTCGATTGGCTACTATTCACTCGGTTCCTTGGCAACTACCCTCTGTTCAGGTTCTCCTTCTTCCTTTGCCAATTGGGTTTAGCTCTTCATTCATTTGGCTTCTTCCTCTCTATCATCTTCCTTCCATATTTTGTTCCAAATGTCTTCTCACCCAATTTGACACCTTACTTTTTCATTGGCATTTCATCTTCATCCTTCTTTGGAAGTACTTCTTCAATCGGGTGTGTGAACTACCCATGGTATGTTTTTCTTTCACTATTGGCATAGGATTGTGGTTTTCTTCCTCTTTGGGTTATCATCTTCTGCCTGTAGCCATTCTAGAATATTAGAATTCAGTGGGACTTTGACTGGGTAAGTTATTTTTTACTTATTTCTCCTTTTCAGGGGCTCTTTTCCCTTTTATTAATGTTCACTGTTTGGATCCTAGTCTCTGGTGAGTGGTACCTGACCAGGTATTCTTTAACTGTTCAAATCTGCACTGTCAAGCCATTTTGACTTGCATTTATATTTCCATGGCCACACAACGCGCACTTCAGAGATGGGGTGTTCCACAACATCAACAGTTCCCCATCTTAGGAAGTCATATAGAGTTGCATTTTCTCCTGTTTCTCATTCTGTTGCCCCTTTTTGCTGGGCTGGCCATTATGGTTCACAGATATGACATTTCTTGTGTGCTGCCTCTTGGCTTAGGTCAGGTAGGATCTTGGCTCTTCATATTTGCAACCACTGTGGATTTATTTTTGCATCTCTTCCCCGTTCTCCTTGTCTGGTTGTTTTTTAGCCCCTATTAATTCCATTGGTCTTCAGCACCCCCAGGAGGCTGTATCTTCCATTGGCTATAGACATTCCTTGGTTCAAGATGGATAATCTTCTCAGCTTGTGATGGGTGTTATCTCCTGGGTTGTGGATGACCAAAAATCATGTTTTTCAGTTTTGGGCCTTTTTCATTAGGTTAGCTAGGCTACTTATATTTTCAACTGAGTTATGCTAACATTTGCTTAGTGGATGTATTTTTAGGGGTGCTTTCATTTGCATTTTTAGATGGACAATTGGCTGTTGCTGGTTCCATTTCAGTGAACTTCTGCAGAGGCAACTTTTCTTTCAGGAGATGTCTTTTCTGGATTGGCTGGTGAAGTGCTCCAAGCTTGTCTTTACCCCCACTCAGTATTTAGTTCACCTAAGTGTATTTCTCAATTTGTCTGTAGAGCAAGCTCAGCTGTCACCTATGTGTCTTCATGCCATAGAGATTCTGGTTCCAATGTTTTTTGACTTTATACTCTTCCTGCATGTGAGGTTTTTTCACTTTTGAGGACTCTGGCTTCCCTTAAATCCCTCATCCTTCTTGGAATCCCCTGAAGTGGACTCTGGACAATCAGTGGAACATTTCCTGGGATTCTTTATCAACTCTTGTGCCTCTACCTTCATATCTTCACCCCATTCTGTTGTGGTTGCTCAATCACTCCAACATGACTTTATGTATTTCTCTTCTCCACCTCCACCCAACTTGCATCTGTACACCGATGGTTCTTTCTTGATGGCAGGGTAGTTCTGGCCAACTCCATATCTAAGGGACTTGAGCTTCAGTGGAGCTGCCCTTTTATATCAATGTCAATGAAATATTGGCTGCTTATTGGGCTTGGCAGTGTCTTCAGTCTCAGTTGACAGTTCACCTGGTGATGATCCATTCCAACAATTCCAGAGCCATATCTCACTTCAACCATCAGGGTGGCACTAATTCTTGGTACTTGTGCTATTGTACTCTAGAATTTCTATTTTTGGTCTGCGACCATCAGTTTGTCATATTGTGGTGGCTTTGGACCTGGTGGTGTATATCTCATCTTGCTTGGACGGGATCTTTCCAACAGAGTGGTCTCTTCATCGTTTGGTGTTTTTGTGGACTTCTTCCCACAATGGGAGTCTTCTGATTGATGCTTTTGCAACTCTTCTTAATACAAAAATTTTTTTTTGGTATCCAATTCTGGACTCTGCAGCTCTGGCTGTTGATACTGTGAGTCAAAATTAGTCCAGCTTCATTCTTTATGCCTATTCTCCTCTTCATTCTCTTTCTCATGTTGTATTTATGGTTTGTGATATCCTTTGCCGGGTTGTTATAATTATTCCTTTTTTGATGAGCTCAGCCATGGTGTTCTCTCTTGCATTGCCTGCCTCTTCCTCTTTGGCAGTCCCATCCCTGCCAGCCGTGGATGTCTATCTTTCATGATGGGATGTCATGCATTTGATTTCCCATGTAAGATTTGTCTGGTTCTTCATGTGAGGTTGAACTTTTCACTCAGAATAGCCCATTTTATGTCTCATTGTTGTTGGCTTTCCACATTGGCCCTCTGTTAGTGCAAGTGGATCATTTGCTGCTACTAGTCCCTTTGTCACCACTTTCCACCAGCTTGTCCTACTTTTTCCCCATCCATGTTGATGATTGCTGGTTATAGAGAGGTTTTATCCACAATTATTCAACTCTTATCTGGCCCTTCTCCTTTTCATTCTCTAATTCTGACTGACCTCATCAGGGCTTTTCTTATCAGTTGTCTTCTTAACCTGGACCATCTTCTAGACTGGTTAGTATCTGTATTGTTTTCCAGGCTTTCAATAGCTTTCTGTTCACAACCTATGGCATTCTGTTTCATTTATCATCTTTCTCTGAGGACATATTTTCTTCTTCTGCTTGCTTCTAAGAGATGTTGCTTAGACATTTATGTATTGGATGCCTCGCACACTCTTTATCACAGGGATCACTTTATTTCTGGACCACCTTTGTCCCATTTCTTCTTTATAGGATCATTCTGATCTTGATTGTCTTTTGTGTTTGGTTTGAGCTGTTTGTTGCTATCTTGTTTGAACTGTCCCCTTGTGTGAAAAATGCTATCACTTCTTGACATGAGATGCCTCCACCTTTCATGACTTGTCACTTTCAACTTTGACTGAGGTTGCCTCTTTACTTTATCTCATCATCTCCCATAAGGTTTACCACCTCGTGACTTCTCTCATCAGTATCATCTCATGGATGAAATCCTACAGACTGGAATGTGGATGATACCTAACACACTTGTATCACATTAGTTCCATTATATGACAGTTTCTTATGCTTGTGGCTTTTGCTACTCTGCAGTTGCCATTCTCCAATCTATCCAAAGGCTCTTGTGAGGTGATTATTGTTATTTGTTTTTCATTTATTACCTGCTCACTCCTTGCAATTTTAGGTCTCACTGTTCCTCACCTCATGACAATGGAACTCACCTTGTGGCTGGTGTTGCCTCACAAGAAATACTTACACAAAATCCACATCAAGTGGGGAGTACAGAAACTGTCAAGCCTATTCACCTTTGCTCAGTGCTCACTGTTAAGATGAGGTTTTCCACAAGGCTATTTCAGTGGAAGCTATTTATATTCTGTATTCTTCCTTCCAGGCCATTCTATGCTTAAAAAAACAACAACAATAGCATCAGATGTGCGCCTTCCTCACACACTTGGCTTGTGCCTGCTGTGTTTATTCATGGTAACCCATTGCATTGTCTCTCAGTGTGGGACCTAATTCCAGATGATTGTGCCAGATGACATGCAGATTCCTTCCCCCATTTCTTCATATGGAATATAGAGAATTCTTGCTTCCCCAGTCCTAAGTCATTTGGGAAGTTGATGTAGAGAGTTTCTCATTTGGTGGTGCAATCCAACTGGTAGAAAACCAGATGAATTCACCCCTTATTTGGGAAGTAGGAAGGATTTGGGCATTACATGGTAGTATAGTACAGGACACTCCATTATGTTATGAATCAAGCCATTCCTAGTGGTTAACCTCAGCTGGATGAATCTAAGGTTAGCCTCAGGACACAGGTCTGTGATGCTACTTCCTGCTCATGCTTTTGTGTTGAGTATCTCCAATATGGAATGACCCTAGCCTCATTATACACTCATACTCAGTTTTCTGCCTGTGAGATAATTGACAGTTGGGCAATCTGATATTCTACCCATTTTGCTTTACCACTTTTATTGGGCAAATTTTATTCTCAAGCCTTCTGTTTCTTGTCTTCATACACAATCAGGTGACTTAACATTATATATGCATCATTTGAAGAAAAATTTATACCTTTTTTATTTTTTCAGTTTTTAAGTTCCATTTTTAAATCATAATAATATTTAGTAGCTGGTTACTTAATATGAAACAATAAAAAAACTTTTTCCAATTGGGAATTCACTCCTTTTTTTTTTTGTTGGCCTCAATTGTAGATAAATGCTACTAATTCCTCATTGGCCACCAATGATGTTTTCTCGCTGATGTTTTTTATATCTTTGAATGGTACTGCTTGCATTTTGTAGCTCAGCATATGTTGTTTCTATACATGAAGACACAACAATTTTCTGGGACTTTTGCTGGGATACTGCACCATCCATTGGTAGATTTGCTCCTTTAGCTTATGTTAACAGTTATTAGAATCATCATCACCTTTTCTAATGATTTCATCTTTTTTGTATAGGTGTTTTCTGGATTACTTTTACCAGATAAGTTAAAAGAACCTGTTAATGAAAGTACAATATTACAAAATATAATTATAGGTTTCTGAATGTTTAGATTAGCAGAGACCTAACTTTAGTTAAGCCTATATTAAGTATGGCCTATATTTGATAAAAAGATAAATAGCACTGTAACTTGTGTCAGTGTTAGTTAGAGCTAAACTTTATTGTGCTGGATGGTATCAATAAATACACTTACAATGTTATTCTACAACCTAACATTAGACTTTTTTTTAAAACTTTTATAAGCTTTTAATATGTTGTACGAAATGTCTACCAAGGTATATTTGCATCTGCCTTTCGTTTACATCTGTTGAAAAGAAGTGTGCGTGCATGTACATTTTCAGGACAGAGAAAAACTGAGTATTAGTGTAGAATTCTTTTTTGAAGCTGATGATTGTTTCTTCATTTTTTGTTGTGGTTTTAATTATGTTCATTAATTTTTTCATTCTCCCATTTTTTTATCCCATCATTACATTTTATCTTTGATATTCGATGTTGCAAGATTTTATTGAAGTTTCTGTGTCAACTGCCACAGTGAATTTATTTTGTGATTGACAGATCACTAGTGGCTTTTTTTTAATAAAAGAATTTTGATTTAGCACATCTACATATATGTAATTTTTAAAGTTCAACATTTTTTTTGTATTTTATGAAACACTAACATTTTAAACTTAAGATAAGACTATAAATTTTAATTTAACATCAATTTCACAGGTTATTTACCTATTACTGTTGTATTTAAAATGTGTATAATGTGAACAACTAACTATAGTATGTGATAATTCATGATGTTCAGGATTGATAATATGTACAAATAACACTGAAGACATCTCCATATGAAGAATGACATTTTTTTTCATCTTTATGAATTATGATATTTGCATTCGACTCAAAAATTCTGTAAAAAAAAGAAATAAAAATTACATTTTTAGTTTCAAGAAGACAACTTTGTTTAGTGGAATTTTCTTTGAATTCTTTTTGGTGGTTATGAGGTCGGTCAAATTGACCAACCTTGTATAGAGTTAACATAGAGAAAATAATAATGATAAGTCTGCCAAATTTTGTGAAGATACACATCCTGTATTAAAAGTTATGTATTAAAACTATATACAAGTAAAAGTGGTCACATGGTCGGTCCTTGGGAGTGAGCCGGTATTGAGGGAGTTCGTAACTGGCTAAATGTTTAGTGCATGTACTGTAGGTACGTACTCTATTCTAGTTGGCTAGGTTGTGGATGCCAACTGGGCGCATTCCAAACATCATGAATAGACTATTACAAAATATATGTACATGATATATGCATGATGAAGTGTGAAAATACTGTATGTACCAATTGGCAGTAATTTCTGGGAAATTAAAATCAACTTTGGTATATTAAACTGAAACAATACAGCATACTTAAATACAAGAGAAAGGAACGATTTGCATATTATGCTAAGGAAAGAGGAAAGTGATTTGCAACTGGGGTTGTTTTGATACACAAGTTGCAATGCAAACCCAGATATTTTGTCCCCTGGAAGAAGCCAATATTTGCATTAGTGTATGTTTGATACATAAACTGTGGCCATGATATTCAGCATTTGAAATATTATATTTGAATTTAAAATAATTATTAGCTTTATTGTACATTTTGATAAACATGTTATGGGCTATACTAGAAGATATATAACTTTTATTAATTTTTACATGTTTAGGTACCAGAGCTTCAGTTTTTGTTTGAGAGATGTGGAGACCTGTCTCCATCAGTAAGCATGATGATAAGTCAGGGTATAGCAACTTTGGTTATAAATGGTTTTGCTGATGCCAGTTATATCATCGATGGATTTTTGGTTATCGTTCCATCTGCCAGGTGTGAATTTAGTCTTAAATTCTTGTGAAGAGTGAACTGCAGTTAGACTAAAATGAAACAGACAAGCTTATGGTATCAAAATAGTAATTTTTAGAGTTCAGTGATCAATATTTTAGAAAATTAAATTTAAGTAATTATTTGAGAATAATAAAAGAGAAACATTGATAGATAGCTTGTATAATTCTCTATGGAAAAAACCAGTAAAATTACTTTTTACAAGAAATTAAAAATGTGCCAAGTTTCAATAACAGTATTATTACAAAGAACTTGGCATTTCAATTCTCTCACAGAATCTCAAAAGTAAGCTTTTGAACTGTCATTATATTTTTCTTTCTATAGATACCTTAATGGTATTATTGCTGCCATAACAGAAATTATTCAGCATCAAATGAGAAAAGAAATGGAGAAAATGGGTGAATTCAGGTGCATTTATTCATTAAGGTAGAGTACATTTTTATGTTACTTGTATAAAGAAAAATAATAAAAGAAATGGTTCATTTTATTCAAGAGTTTAAAACTGACCAGGTACTGTTATGCAAATATGTTAAAATTTTTGTTGTTCCTAGGTATTATAAAAGGCACTTGTCTTTTATATAAAGCAAAAATATCTGGAAAACACTTAGATATTGTAAATCAGAATACAGATGAAAGAAAGTACAGATCATCTTCCATTAAAACTTTGCATTATTTCCATTCTTGTTTAAAAAACATAACTTTTAAATTTGGTAAAAAACAAAAACAGCAACCCAGTCACATTTAGAAGGCTATGTTTATCCCTTAAAAAAAAGTAATGTCTTTCTAAAGTTTTCAGGTTATGTAGCTTGTAAAATCATGATTTCTTTTCTCTTTAATTCTTTGTGTTTTCCAAATATCTTCAAAATATTAGATGTTATCACTAGAGAGAGGTAAGTTATACTAACATTTTTAATAAAGCATTTAATATGTTTTTACTTACAGTTCCTTTTACATTAGCTTGTAACATACCTAAGTGATAGATTTCAGCTAGGTTTGTGTTTTGAGCCAAACAACATGACAAAAATCTTCTGTAATGTTCTCATTAGTTTAATTTTTCAGATATGTTTTGCAAAATCACCAACTAGCATTGCTTGTCACATATATGTACCATTTTGAGTCTAACAAGATTTAATCTATTATTTGTAGAGGGTGATTTAAAAAAAAAAACATATATAAAATGGTTATATCTTAAAACTAGAAACTGAGAATTATAAGAGTTTGAAAATTATACATGGTGAATCCATATGATATATAAACATATCATATATTTTAAATCCATATGATATTGCATGCCTTCATAGAAATTAATATTCCTTTAGATTGTTCTCAACAATGTGAGATTAGTGATTTGTATGAAATGTGTAACAGTGTGCTATATGTTGCAAAGATCAGTGAACAAACAGCATCTAGAACTAATGATTTTTGCCCTAGTTTTATTTAGGGTTTGATGTGCTGATTGAGAATGACTGAAACTGTATTTAATATTATTACGTGCATGGACTTTCCTAAATATAATTGATTTTCAATGTGAAATTTAGTTCCCATTGTACGAATTTTTTAAGGTTTAGTCATTTTAAATATGGGCTTTTTTATACATACCTGTATCAGTAGAAACAAGGCCTGTTGCTTCAGTTGAAAAATCACAGACTTAATTCGTATAAAATAGCATCATTTTATGATGTTTTATTATTTGTTGCAGTTGAAACCAAGACACACATGTTTTCACAGTTAACGTTATTTAGCATGTGTGGTTACTTATAATCCATGCTTCTTTATTTGAATAGAGTATTTTTATTTATGTTTTAAAGTTAGATCCTTCAATGTGTAAATAATTCAGTAATATTACTCCTATTGTTTTTAACAGTTGTGTATTCACTGTTTAAAATTGTTCTTGTGCCTACCTTTTCAGTTACAGTTTTTGTTTCACACTTCCATTTTCACTGTGATTTTATCACTCATGTTTTAAACCAAGTTATGTTATATTTATTACCTTTCTTCCTGTTTATAACAGTCTAAGCTTCCAGTTTATAATGAATGTTTTTATCTTAAGGTCTTCACCACATCCATTTATTACTATCCTTCAAGAAAGAAAAGATTCTTGGTCTCTTATTAGGGATAAGCTTGGTTGGATGTTGAAAAGTGTTAGAAACAAGTAAGTTGAAAGTGAAACATAAAAATGGCTGTAGCTAATGAAATGAGATTAAACAAGTAATACTCTCATAAAAAGTAGAACAATATAAAAGTAAAGGATCCTTTGCCAAATCTTTGATTATCTTGTGGTTTAAGCACACTGACTATTTCTGACTTGGTTGTTTGTTAGTTAGCAACAGATTTATTGACATGAAATTTGATGGTAAATGAATCTTTTTTAGATCATTCAGTACTTTATATTCATTGCCTTGTTCTGTGTAGTTTCTAATTCAAATATGGTTGTTCAATTCCTGTGTTATTTGGGGTTTGTTAGCAGACTGGCCAAGTACTGTTTATTGTTTAATTAGGCTGTAATATATAATATGTATAATAATTCTGTCAAGTATTATTCTGTGTATATTGTAGAATAGTTACCGAGTTATTTTTTCAAATCTAATGTGAAACACATCGTTACACATGAAAAAAAACAATCTCTATAATTAACACATTACAAAAATATATTGTGAACTCCAGTTTTCATACAAGTATAATAGCCATAACAGATTGTCAAGATTTTATAGTACACAACTTGCATGTCAAATTTGAATGTTTTATAAAGTTAATCATGTCATATGCTTAGGATTATCCATAAGTGTTTTTTTTATACACTTCAGCCTATTATTCTTTTTTGGTCTCTCTTAATTCATTACATTTAAAAATATATATATTCATAGTTACTTCATTTTTATGATATGTGGAACTTACTGTTAGCCGAATGTATTCTCTCTCTGAAGTATAATTTACATCAGTATGAGATATTTTCATATTAATCTATTATGGTAATATTACATATTATCTTTATTATCCAATGTTCATGTAAATCCCTATTAACCATTTTGCAACTGGTACACTTTTAATCCTCTCACCATGGGCACATGTCACGAAGTTTTTAGTGAGTTAAATTTTCAAAATCTAATTAAACTACTCTTAGTTTATGTTATACCAATTAGTATATCATAAAATTGTAGCAAAAATCCATATTTTAATAGTATATAAGTTTTAAGTTCTTAAATGTATAAGGCAATATTAAAAAAAATTCTGAATTCCCCTAGTGTGAGAAATATGAATTTTTTTCTCCAAGCATCATCTCCTCTCTAATTCATCACCCATTCAATAAGTACGAAATTTAACATAAATTACTACACTATAATATTGTCATTGCTCAGATTAAGCATAGTTTTCATAGCCTTCAATTTAGTTTGGTTAAAGAGCCATCAAATAGAAAATCAGATCCCTCTTGCCACACCCACCTGTC